TCCCATCACGCACGGCGAAAAGAGGTAATTAGGGACAAATCCGAGGTCTCTGTTCTACCGAAAGCTCCGTTCTGTCTTTTAATATATCCTTGGTTCCTCTGCATGGCTGCTCACAGTCCCATCAGCATATGTTCATGGAGTTCAAGATGGTAGAATGGCGATCAGGAATGGTATTGCGTTAATAATGGCCCTTGCGTCGATCCGGGGCCAACTGCCCGGGTCAGGGGGCGTCCCGCGTTAGGGAAGGGACCAACATGTGAAGCATCTCTTCAAAGGGCCTCCGGATCGACCATGGAACCGCGCCCGCGTGTTGCCAGAATGGCTGCCGGAATGCTCCCCGCGCTGGAACGGAATGGTCTTTTAGCCCTGGACCGGTAATGACAATGTTCCCCTAGATTTTCTACTCACGGAAAACGTGAGAAATTTCAGAAGTTTTAAATTGAGTGGATCAAAATGAGGTAAAAAATTAAAAAGGCCAACTTGTGGATTGTCTGTTGAGAACGCTCATCATTTTCCAGAATCCAGTATTGAAACAAGCAACATAAAACAGTTTCAAGCCGTACACAATCGCAGTCTCAGCAGCAATGCAAGTGATGGCAGGTGTTGCAGTTTTCGTGAAACCGAACGGCGCTGGCCGCTGCAGGTAACTCTAGGCGGCGGGCGCCGTGCGCGCGAGACCGACTGTCGTCAAATAATGCTTCTGATATTTTTTTCAAAATAAAGTTGAAACTTTCAAGGTTTCGGCTGGGGCCATTTTCTTTTGCAGTTTTGGGATGCCCTCTGCTCAAATTAGCAGCTACAGCAACACGAAAAATAGTGATTCTACATTGAATCTTCCAATCCCACCACTACATTCCAACACCACTTCGCAGTATCGTAAGGACTAATCCGTCCTTATTGTCAACATAAAAGCTACTGTTGAAATTTACGCTCGGAATGCTTTTTAAACGCAATAATTTATGTCCTTAAGCGCTCAAAGGTACTTCTTCCAGACGCGTCATTTTTTTTCGTCTGCCGCTTAGCTACCGCTTAGCCTCTTAGCTGCGTGGCCGACGCTCCGCAGCCTATGGAGACTGTAACGTCTGACGTCGGGGTCGCCGCTGCTCGGATTTGCGAATGCGCATGTTCGAAACCATATTACACTATTTTTCTCAGTGATCGATTCTGACTGCATGTTGAACATTTCAAGGCGAACATAAGTTAAGCATATAGATGCAAATTTGAACCCTATTTCTATCTACAAGGTGCGTTCACGGGGTCCTCAATATCTCCAAAGAACACAAAATAAAGATGACAAAAATTTTGAGCTCTAGCGGTTGGGAAGGGGTGCACTGAAACGTTGTCAAATACAGGGATCCGGTGATTTATTCCATGCGATCTTTCAGCGATATCTGAATTCTGCAGTTAACTGGTCCAAGATACAACAAGCATTAACACGCGCTTGGGTGGGGATCAAATTGACCCCCGAAGGTTTTTCCAAAACGGTTTTCGAACAGCGCAGCGCAGCTGCGCCGAAGTCTGCGAAGCAGTAAACAACTAAATAGCGGATCGCTTGGTATAATAATTCAGATATATCTTGTAAGGTCACTGACCTACAGCTGGTCAAAGTCAGGCCATCGATTTTGCGAAGCTAATTCTAGTGAATCGCTCAATCTGAAGCAACAATGGAGCGCTAAACGAGACCACACATCTCTGAGCTACTTTCGTAGGCAACCCAGTAATGGAATGAAGAAATTCCATCAACCTAGGGTCCGTTTTGAAGGTCAGATTAGGGTCAAAGTCGATCTGTTTTACTACCTTAGGGCTTGCTGTATGGAACAGATTTGGTGCTTATTTCGAATTCATTGATAACAGGTACTGCATTATATATCCTCCATGCACTTCTCAAAGGTCAGAATAGGTCACTGACCTAAAATGAACCGGGTCAACATTCTGTTTCTAGGAGCATACTGCCTAGCGAAATCATTGTCGCTTATTCAAATGCAAAACTTAAAGCAGGCTTGTATTATTTTGGATATCATGACCTTCGAAAGGTCAAACAAGGTCACTGACTTTAAATGATTGTGTGACCTTTTGCCTAGAACAGGTATGTAGGTTCTGGAGGCACTTCGGAGACCATCCTGGATATTTACCTTTTTGACCTTATTTGACCCGAAGGTCACGACCTAGGAACCTTAAAATTTGACCTAAGTGAGTTCACGTACAGGCCCATGCACTCTATAAATTTGGTGTCTCTAGCTCCCTTAGTTCCTCAGGTCTCAGCGAGGGATCAAATTGACCCCCACCCGAGTCGAGGGTATCCAACCGGTCACCCGGGTGCGCGTTAATCTCTCAGCTGCTTTTGGTAGCCGTTTCTGCTCTGATTACATTACAGAAACAGCAATAAAACGAAGATAACCATGCCCCTCATGAACAAGTGAGTTGTATCCGGAGATTTTTTCGGGGGGGAGGGGTTGGTCTTTGACCATGAAGGCGCCTTTGTCAGCCCTGTGCGCCCCTGGCAAGGCTCGTTAGGAAGTGAGTTATGTGCGGTGCTTTTTTGGTGGGAGTCACTATGAGGGACCTTTGCCAGCTTTGTACCTCCACCCCCCCCCCCCCTTGGTAAGGCCCTGGCTACGCCCTTGCCTATGCACAAGAGCAGATGAAGTCGGGTACGTTGAAGGGCGGGCAAATGAGTGCCTGATTGACCAATTCATGCCTGAGACAGGCTGCTTCCCGAGAGCTTATTTTTTGCTGTGGTGTTGTGGAAAGGGAGATAATCCGGAAAAAATCTGCTGGGGGGCTACTAGTGGGATGAACAATGGAAAATGATCCAATCGGTCCCTGAAATATACCTACAAGCAGGCTCCTCCCCGGAATTTCCTCACTTTCTTCCAAAAGTTCAGGGACTTAGGCCAAAGTTAGGATCTCCAACTTCTCCCCCCCCCCCTCCCCAGCTGAAAGGAAACTACACTTCTGCTTTACGCACCAATGAGTAGTGATGCTGATCTACAATCATACAACAAAGCAGTCATGCGATTATTCACAGTCAGTCATGTGGGGAACAGCCGGGCCGGGGCAGTGGCTGTCGATGGCGGACGGGAGAAAGGCTCAGATGGGGAATATCTACCAAAGGGACGTTTATTCTGTGACTTTGTTTTTGCAGGAGAAACTGCGGTTTTGTGGTGTTTGTCACTTTGCTATTGGCAGATAGTATTTAAAGCTTCCGAATTTGTTAGCCTTAAATGCAGAGACAAATCTTATCTCTTGAAAAGCAGCCAGCGAAATCTTGACGCATGCAAACTCTGGTGCACTATGAATATGACTCACATTCGAAATTTTGACCAGCCTGTGCCCAGGTCTTATTTCGATATCTTCCTTATGGAGGCAGATTCCTCCACAATTGTCCCCAACAAACCTACCTGCCCGTAGTATTTTGCCTCCCCAGGAGAACAATGTTGAAATAGACGAATAATCTTAAAAAGACGGCAAGCCTTATTTTCCGAATGTTTTAAATGAGTCGGAAAGGCAAGGTTATGCACCTGTGTAAAACAGCTGTAGATTTGTACCTGGCAAAACAGCCATGACATTTGATTATTTGCAACGTGTTTTGTGTTGTGGACTATTCTTTTAATGACAAGGGCTCGACGTACTCAAGTGTTTCTTCAGTGAATTATACCGCATTCTAGGCTTTTCACAAAAATGCAGCTCCACATCGCCTTCAAATGGGATGTTGTTTCTACGCGACAAAATAAATTTGGAATACAACGAAATGCCTTTTAAAGGGAGTGCCCCGCATTTGTGTGGGGTTTTAACTGAAATAGCCATCTTGAAGATCGTTCAGTGCAGTTCATAACCCTGCCCATCTTAAGACCAAAACCTCTCTAGTTTTCTGAGCTGCGCATCTGTAAAAATGTGCAGACAATTTTGTGCAGACTTTTTCAAAGTCATCCAGGCATCTGTGAGGCCAAAATAACGTCATTCAAATTCTATTACTTCATTAACCATGCAGCGATCAAGGCCAATGCAAATATAACTGTCGATTCATTCAGATCTGGTGTTCGTGAGCATGATTTTCAGATATACGCTCGCCAGTTGGCTCTCAATTAACTTTATGCAATGCACGATGACGCAATTAAACAATGAGTATTAAGGAGCATGTCTTCTAAACAGAAACGTTTTGTGCCCTAGAGCAGTGTTGTTCACTGAAAAGTAAAACAGCCAATCTTCTAAAATCCTCTAGTTTGCTGCGCTATATGCCCGTGAAGATGTGCAGACCATTTTGCGCGCATTCTGTCAAGGTCAACCAGGCATTCGTGACGCCATAATAACGCCACTCAAATTCTATCATTTCATTACCGTCCTGCCAATACGAGCTTTTACATTGGTGACTTCATGGCTGAACTACATGCAGTTACAGATCTCTTCCAATCCGATCCTACTTTCGGAGCTACTGACTTAAAGTAGAAAGGTAAACTGTGCAACAGCACCACGGCCCACCTGCAAGTAAACCGGGTTGCCTCAGTGGTGTCTTTCAGACGCAACATATGCCGGCCACTTTCACGGCTGAGACATGGGAGCGCTGGGTACATCTGGAAGACTGTGCCATGAGCCGTGGTCCAATTGTGGTGGCTCGTTACAGCCAGTGACTGCGCTGGGAAACTGGTGCAACGAGACACGCGTGAGCCTTGGATCTTACTACAAGATTATATAGCCGGCTTCGTCTGTGCCCGGGGTTTCACTCCTTGACTATACATGTGTATAAACATATCACGGGGGTTAACAATTATGTATATATAATTGTTAGCACATTCCATCGACCATCAATAACTCTGGCGCGTTTTGTCCGGCGTTGTTTGTCCGGCCCGTGGAGGGACCACAGGCCAGCGACCGCTAGCCGCACCGCACACCGCGGGTCTGGCTAACCCCATCCCATCTCAACGACGCCTGGCGGGCGTTTTTGTATTCATCCGCACAACAACTGTGCCGCGCTTGAGGGAGGTGGCGGTGAAAGCGGGGTCGGCCAGGCCCGGCCGCTTGCACCAAGTGGGTCAGTGCTACGCGTGCACGGCGCCGGCGGCTGGCGGCGGCACTGTGCCGGCTGGGCCGCGACAGGGAGGGTGGCGCCGGAATGGCGCAAGGTGCGCGTGTACCTCCGGCCGACGCTGGCTCTGCTGCTCGTCGCCATTGCCGTTGTTTTCCTGACCGGCATGCTCATCGGCGGACGGTGAGACTGCTGCTGCCCGAGTGTTCGGTGTCCAGCTGCCACTAAAACGGTTGCCGGCAGTGCCACATGTCTTGCCTTTGTTTGCGGGCGTATCCGGCGAATATGTATCAAGGCTTTCGGCTGCTGTGGTTACGAGCGAGCAACCTCTTCACTATGTGCTGACTATCAAACTCCGTTCGTTAGTTCGGTCCGTCAGCTAGTGCCATTCCTTGGTTGGTGCCGCCCGTTGGCTGGTGGCATTTACTTGTCAGTGCCGAGCGTTGGTTGATCCTCTCCGTATGTTACCTCAGTGCGGTTACATTAACATCGTTCGTCCGTTTGTGCTGTTCGTTGGCTGAAACTGTCTATCAGTTGGTATCATCCATCAGTTGGTGCTGCCCGTGCGTTTTCGCTTGCAACCGAACTCCACTCCTTGACTCATGGCTTCTTCGCGTCGATTTGTGTCGGCGCGCATGGGTTTGGCTGATAGACCGCCAGAAAAGCGGCGCAGTGATTGCCCAGGTATTCAGTGGGTCGAAAATCTTTTAGATAACGGATGGTTTTCCACGATGAATGCGACCTGCATCACATTCAGATTTGTGTGCTAGCTGCAAAGGGCGCGGGAACCGGGGTCGGTGGGACCGGGGCCCCAGCCTTCTGAAACGATGACGTTGACCCTGTGGGTGTTGACTGAATGAAAACATCATGAATAGGTATTGGCTATTCTGGCTCGGGAATTTTCTGATGCCCCTGCTAGCTGCCGAGCTGTGACTGAAATAAGGTCGGTAGGCTCTCGTTAAATTTCACGTGTGATCCTGAGTTTCAAGCTAAATTAAATCGATGTTTCTCCAGTCTTTTCAGACTCTTTGTTTTGGCTACAGTTTTCATTCAAGCACAAGTCACCGGACCACTTAAGCCCCTGGGCCATTGTGATGAGCGTAAGTGCGGACTCGTGATCAGAGTGAGCGTGAAAGATGTATGAGCAGCGTCATCCGCAAGAAATCAGCATTGTGCATGCATGAACCACGACGGCAGCTGCTGGAGGACCGGCTCAGGTGGTCCAAGAAAGTTTAGGTTCTCCATTTATCAATGCATCGAGATCTGCTGGGATCATCGGTGGCTCTGGTCCCCATCGGAATGATTGTGTCTGTGCCCGATCCATGTGTCTTGGCTCAGCGTCTCCCTCCGCAGGGAAATATCTGCTAGAGCTTGCCCTCGCAACGCGATGGGACCCCATGTCTGGTCGGGCATTGCCTCGATGTGATGTGATTTGATTTTGTTTAAGCCTATGAAAGTTTAAAAAGGGGCAGGGACAAGTCGGTGAATCAGCCGTTTGATATTCGTTGGCTGTGGTATGCACTTTCTTGATGCCACCTATAAGTTTGTACTGAAGGCAACGGAATAAGCGTCCGTCTCAGATACAAGTCAGGTTGGATCATATGGACCCCGGATGTCGAGAGCACCGTAAGATCCAGCAGTCCTGCGGACCGATCATCCGTTGGTGTAATCTGTCGGAGGATCTCGTAGGAGTAATTGACAACTCTGTGACGTGACTGCAGAGCCTACGACCCCCTCCTCCTCGTGTTGTCAGATCCTTCGCAGTACTCGCTCCCTATATGCAGGCACTTGTCTGCCACTCATATGATCTATAATGTAAACCATCTCACGCGTACCATGACGTGAAATAGTAAATTTCAAAGAAATACAGCAAATTGCATGCTCGCATTTCCTTTGGAACGTACAGCATACGATTTCTTTACCTGTACAGAAGGTCGTGTTTGTGCTCTGCGCGGTGACCTACGTTGTTGCAAACGGCCTCCATCACACCTCCTCCTTCTCCACGACCCGTGCCAGGTGATCGCGCCCATCACTGATTACAGCAGACATCCAACCGCCATAATCAGCCTCGTCTGAGCCAACCGTTTTCGCCATCCCGCAGAAACGTGCTCCCCCAGGCAGCGCTGCTCACCAGGCGGCAGCACCAGTTTAAAAGCCGCATCCCGCTCAATGGTAACGACCGTGACGACGGCACTGTCAGGCGGAACCCGCGCTCGGAAGAGGACGATTTCAGCCTCAGAGACGTCGTCGTGCTAAACACGGACGTGCAGGACGAGATAGAGCCGGGCACGTGGCGCGCCTCCTTGTTGGCGGACTCGAAGTTCGAACCGATTGACATGCAAATGCTGCAAGCCCTGACCAACTGGCTGCTGGCGCCCAGCCACGGCTGCGCGCGGCTCAAAATGATGGGCGGCCCGCGGCGCAGCGGCGGCGGCGTGACGGCCGAGCAGCCCGTGTGCCTGGACGCACCGCTGGCGGGCGGCGCCGGTCGGACCCCCTGCCTCGCCTACTCGCTGGGCGTCGGTGCCGACTGGACCTTCGTCGAGCAGCTGGCGCAGCAGGGCTGCGAGGTGCACGTGCTCGACCACCGCACGGAAGTGGAGCCCGAGGGCCAGCACTCGTTCGGCGTGTTCTTCCACCGATTCGGCGTCGGCCGCAACAAGCACCGCACCGCCGAGGGTGGCGAGGTGCTGACGCTGGATGGCGCGATGGCGAGGCTCGGCCACCGGCGCCGCACACTACGTTACTTGTGCGCCGACCTGGACGGCCTGGAGACCGACATGCTGCTCGACCAGCTGGTCGACCGCAAGTCGAGCTTCGACCGCAAGTTCGTGCTCAACCGCGTCGAGCAGATAGCGTTGCGTGTACACCTGCGCTCCCATGTGGAGCGCGAGCTGCCGTTCTACCGGAACCTGTGGCGCGCGTGCCAACAGCTCGAGCGGCTCGGCTACGAGCTAGTGAGAAGCGCGCCGGTCGAAGTAGGCGGACGGTGGAAGTTCCCCGGCCAGCCCGAGCCCATTCACCTCATGTATGACGTGCTGCTTGTGCGCAAACGACCCGCCGTCCGCGGCTTTGACCCGAACGTGGCGTGAACGGGTGCAAATATCGTGAAGGCATTTTAGTTTTACGCTGTTTGCTGATGTCATCATGATATGTGCAAGTGAACTCTTCATATTTTTATCCATGGATGCATTAAGGCTTCAAGGCCACCGTATTCACGCCGGCTGGGATGTGTTCTGTTGTGATGTGAATGAGAAGCGAAAGAAGTGAAGTGGGCGTTATGATCTGGTGATTGTGCGGTCTTGTCGATGTCTTAAAGCCTCGTCATATACAATTAAATGTCTGATGAGGAGCGGAAAAGGCGCTTAAGTACAGTCATCTCCTATTGCCAGGTTTTCTGCTTTACAACGCTATTATTCGCTAATGCTGGCATGTTTTAATTGAGCGCGAGGCACGTCGTCGTACACCCTTTTATGCGCTGCCAGCCACTGCAGAGGCCATATTAGCGCTCAAGGGCCATGACTCAACCGTGATTTCAGCCCGGGCCGCTACGTAGGCCGAACACGTCAACCATTTGTTGATTACGCCCCAAGCTCCCCCGGGGGGGCTTGCGCGAACTAAGCGCCGCCGTGAAACGCCGAACTGCAACAACTCGTCACGCCAAATGCATCGTGGCTCATATCACTGGGCACTCGCTCCACCTGCAGCACGGTAGGGTCGTGCAGTCCCGGAAGACTTTGTTTGGGTTTTACCACGAAGCAACCTCAACACGGCGCACCAGGAAGGAGAAGCTATGCCCACAGCGCCTATTGTTACCTTTCACTATCTCCATTAGCAAACGATTATCAAAATGCGTCACATGTTTTAGCGTTGATTTTCAAAAGCACGCAGTTGCAAATTCACGTCGTGAACACCAAACAGGATCCAATGGACAGTAAGCTGAAGCAGTAAATGGAAACCCATCCAGAAAGGCCACAGAGTCCCAACCTCTTCTGGCTCGTTTCCAAGAACCTACCGCAGAAAGCTCACGGTGCGACACGGTGCGGAATCTCCAAATAGTCGAGCTCCACGGCTTACGTGGGGCTCGCGCCCGAATGCCGCGAACGTTGGCTCATACGCACCACCAAGATATTGTACCCGTACAGATTTGGAATTTCTTATTTGGAATTTTCTTATCGTTCGGCGGCCGACCTCGACTTCCGTACTGGCGTGGCCGACAGCCAACACCGCCAAGCGTCAAAGGGAATGCTCCACATCTATATGGGACTTTGAACCGAGATAACCACCTTTAAGATTATTCAGTGCAGTTCACAGTCGTGTCCCTCTAAAGCATTTAACCGTCTTGTCTCTGACGTTTACACTCATGAACTTGTGCAACCAATTTCGTACAGACTATTTCAAGGTTACCCAGACAACCATGACGCCCTACAAACGCCAGGGAAATGCCGCCACCTCACTGCCATGTAGTGCTCAAAGCCAAGAACAAATATGACCATCTCATTATTTGTGTTCGGCGTACGTCCGCATGCTTCGTGGCATCAGCGGTTTTCAGTCGACACTTCACCATTTTGATGGTTTGAGTGCAAGTTTCGGGGACAAAGCACGCATTGCGATATATAAGACAGGAATTTGGGCAGTGGTAAACAATTCGGGGCCTCCACATGGCTATCTCTGCCAATCAGTATGTGAACGAAGATCCTCCGAATTCCATAGCTACCTTTTCATGAGGTACCCTGTCTCTCCGCGAGATGCGCCGGTCGGCAATCGTTTCAACGGTATGGGACCATCGCGCGGCACGTTTCGGTATTTCGGCCATCATGCGAGACACTTGATTGGAACTGATAGCATTCAGTGCGAAAATACCGGTGCGTTCCGCGATGGCCGAGGCTCCAGGCCGCGCACGTCTCAAGAACGCGCAATGGTGTGCCTCGATGTACCTTCGCGCAGCACGCAGCACTCGTGAACGCACCGAAAAACAAAACTAGCGTGGTGCAGTACCGTCTCTACCGCCTTATCGCTGGCGTCAGTATAGACATGGAATGGATACTTAACAGTGAAATCAGGATACCGCAGCACCGGGCTCTCGCACAACGTCTTTTTAGAGGTTCAAAAGCTTCATGGAGCTCCAGTGTGAAGAGAAAAGGGACACCCTATTTCAGGAGATTTCAGAGGGGTCGCGCCGGCTCCGCGAACCCGGGCACGAAGCGCTTGTTAAAATTTGCAGCACTAATAAAGCTACGGACTTCAGTTTCGCTGCTCGATTTGGCAATCCGCGAAATAACACTGGTTTTGCTCCCACCTACTTGCGTGCTCTCTGGCGATATGGCATGCCATAGCAGTTTGACTTTCTGGCACATAGAGCTGGTCTTAGAGGGTTTCTACCTAACTCCGCGAGTCCTGGCCAGATCAAACACCACCACCAATATCTCCATGTGCTCATCCACACTGCTAGTGCAACAAATAAGGTTATCCAAGAAGCAAAGAGCCCGGTTGGTGGTCAGCATAGGCGCGTACACTGCGTTCACCACCTTTTGCAATGTCGAATTGCAATACTGCCATTCGAAGTACTTTTGGTTTAAAATTGCCCAACGGTGTGGCGAAGCCTGCCAACTTAGCTCATTTCGGTCGCACTCGAATTTGATAGAAATTTACTCTTGGCCATGTCTGTTGCAGAAGTGTAGCCCTTTTGCTGTCCGAGTGCTTCCAAAAGGCGTTGCGGGTTGGGCAATGGGTGACCGATGGTTCCCGTGGAGTGGCAGAGGACTGGCAGAGAGGCCACCGATCGGTAGCCGACGTAGCCTCGGCCTTTTTCACCTATATGCACGGGAGGTGAACCCATCATATGCCAGTTCCATTAAGTCGTGTTACAGCATGCCCTCTTTCTTTTGAGCTCGTGACCCTGCTGCTCGGTGCATGGGGACTGTCGGCTGTACGCAGCCCCGGCACTAGGTCTCAGTTGTATCGCATGGGTTGCGATCTCGCTGTGCAAATCTCCTTCCAAATGTCCCTGGTCAGAGGTGCTGATTTCTAGAAATGCTTGTCCATAGTCCGATCCAAAGTCCGAGGATGTACCAGCTATCTGTCCAAAATGTGTCCAAAAACTTTGTCCCAAAACTTCCAACATCTTGCATCAAATAACTACCGCATGCAATCAAAAACTCCAGTCACTATTCGTGTCGCATTCGTGTTGCCTTTTTTCCCTCAAACGAATCGAATGCAAACAGGAAAGGATCGTGGGTAAGCCATTGACATCTGCTTGTGATAAGTTGGGATGCATACCAATTTGCGGCATGACAGAATAATAGCGGCCATCCAAAAAACCACAAACAGCCTGAAGCCTCTGTCTGCCCCATTTTCATTTTTGGAAATTCTGGAAATTCCCCCAAAATGGAATCTTATTAACACCCCTATATTAGATACAAATTTTCCCAAAAGGCTTGCCGGCTCGGCCAGCGCCCGGCTCATGGTGTTTGCTGCCAGCCATCCGCGGAGGTCACGCATCTTGACCGTAGTGACCAGCGCTTCTCACCGGGTGCCCACACTGAAGTAATGGAAGAGTCCTGTGCCAGTTAGCGCCCCCAGTACCGAACGGTGGGACTTTCAACGCAGTGCCAGCATGGGCCCGTTGAGGGGGCCTCGAGCCTATGTGTTAATTATTTGACCATCTGTGACGATCAGGGATGTTGTTGCGTCAGCGCGGGTTCCCGTGTCCATCCGGGGTCAACTGCACGGGTCAGAAGGCCTCCCGCATCAAGGAATGAACCAAAGTGATATGATGTGTCCCTCTAATATATATATATATATATATATATATATATATATATATATATATATATATATATATATATATATATATATACACATATATACATATATATACACACACATATATATATATATATATATATATATATACATATATATATGTATATGTATATATATACACACACATATATATATATATATATATATATATATATATATATATATATATATATATATGTACATGACATACAAAATAAAAGCGTACCTTCGTTAACAAATTGACCATATCAGGCGATCCTCTTGGGGACATTTTATTGTCAGAGGGCCCTTTGTCAACCCTGTGCCCCTCCTTGCCAAGGCTCTGGCTGCGCACCTGATAAACAGGCATCACGTATCGCGATGCCCGTTCATTCATGCACGCAAGCCGTTTCAAGTAAACTAGTCCAAACAAGCATGTATCACACATCATGCATCACTTATGCATGCAAGCAATTTCAATTATTAGGCAGCGCACATCGCATGTCACGCATCACCCATACATGGACACGATTTTAAGTAAACACGCGCCACACAGTACGCCACACACACACTAATCACATTCGCATAATTGACCATGATGAGCCCTTTTCGTTAAGGTCTGATCCCCGTCTTCTCACAACACACTTTTCACTTATTTTCGTGTCTGGATGGTCCTGTGCTCTGTAAGTGACTTTAAGATCATAAATGGTTATAGGGTTCGTACCTCCCTGGATTTCGGCCAGAGCGCGTTTTGCCAAAAAAAAAGTCCGCCGAAAGGGGTATTCTCTATTTTGCTTTTAGCGCCTTGTAAAGCGTTCATTATATATCAAACACATAGGGTGCATATACTCCCTAACATAGACTTTATCCCTTCCATATTTTTCGCACAGTTCACAATATATATCGCAAACCACGTGTTTTTGTAAGCCCACTGAAATCCATACCTGCATATATGACGCCTATTGCCCCCGGGCACTTTGGCTTCGAGATAGAGGATTTCACTACAGACTTTTTTGACTTATTATTGTTTTTTCAAGCCATGTATACGAGCAGTTTTAATTTCCTAACGATATGTTTGATTTTCCAGACCTCATTTCAGTTTTGCCAGCGTACATTTATGTAAGGTAGTGTTAAGAATATGTCGTCCGGCGAGGCTTGCTCCGTTTCCTGCCAGCCATCCTCCCACGTGCTCTAGATTTTTTAATCTTTTCTAAACTTCTACCCAAAAGGCGTGAAGAACATCCATCGCCTAACAACAGTCCATATTTTGTTTATGTTTTTTCCCCTTTCAGACTACTTGATGAATTGTTTAGATCCCTGTGGAGCATGTTACAAATCATATTGTACTCAGTGGAAGCTTGATGCGCAGATTTGCAGTGCAGAATGGTGCCAGAGAGGATGGGCTTGGCAAGGAGCCCCGTCCCTAACGCTGTACGGTTGTTCCGCCTTTCAACCATTGGCAGTGTATCCAAATATTGGACTCCCTTTCCATCCCTGTCTGGTCCATCGTGGCGGCCACATTGGGCTGCTGATTGTTTATGAGCTCTAAAGATTCAAGGGCACGCTCTCCGTGCGTC